AAAAAGCTAGCATACAAATGATAGAACAACAAAAATGGCCAAGACACCATCTGTGACATGGATGCATGAACAGGCTGAGGATAGGCTGATCTTACCTTCAGGATGGTAAACGAAGCAAAACCACATAAAAACAACCAACAAATCCTATAAAATACTAGCCTACATTACACTTTACCATAAAAATGGAAGACGAAGCAAACTAAACGAAACTACCATCTATTGAAAAATTGATGCAATTGAATGTCAAAACTGTTGAAAGAAAACCACCAATCAAAGGATAAATGGAAGTCGAAATAAATCCATGGCGTTGGACTAGGATGGAACAAATGCCCATGAACTCGGTAACCTTTACCCACCTAACTCCCCTCAACGGACAAGGTAGGTGCATTTAGGTGGAGATGTACCAGTGATATGGATGCTTTAACCAAATTAGGATGGGCAGATCATGCCCTTGAGATGGTAAAAAGGTAAAATCATAGAAAAACAATACACAAAATCTACATAATGATAAACAACAAAAATGGGCAAGACACCACAAAACTAAATGATACTACAATCCATAGAAAATTTAAATCAATAAATTCTCAAAACCATTAAAAGAACGACTATCAATGGATAAACAGAACTTGAAAAGGTAAATCATGAGTCATGACCATGAACTCAGAAAGACCCCCCCCCCCCAAGGGCGGGCCCGGTGACCTTTAGCCACCCAACCCCCCTTAATGGACAAGTGAGGAAAATATAGGCATGACATGGATCCATTAACTGACCGAGGATAGGATGATCTTACCCTTCAAGATGGTAAACAATGCAAAACCACAAAAATGCTAGCCTACTTTACACTTAACCATAAAAATGGAAGACAAACTACCATCTATAGAGAAATTGAAACAATTGAATGTCAAAACGGTTGAGAGAAAACCACAATCAATGGATAAATGGAAGCCGAAAACTAAATCCATGACCTTGGACTCGGGGGATCAAACGCCCATAAACTCGGTCACCTTTAG